ACATGTGGGCATGCTAATGTTCATTTTCTATGTCATGAATAATGTAGTCCCCCTTCTCCTTCCTCCCCCTCTGTCTCCTTCCCCTGCAGCTTACATGTTCACCTAGGGATTTTGTGGAAGACTGCTTAATCAGGTATAGGTAATTCTATTCTATAATTACGCATTCAGCAGAGTTTTAGACTACCGTGCTGACACTAAGTTAGCATATTAAGTCCCAGTTATGCTCCTGTAAAGAATCATTATTTCATGAACCTCAGAGTGAAAGCTGTATGTATACAAACTGTTGTGAAAAAAAAAAAAAAAAGAAAAAGAAAAAAAAAAAGAAAGAGTGAGAGAGAGAGAAGCATCTTCCATGCTGAAATTGCAGATTCCTGAAAACCAGTGGGATTCTTTGTGGATGATAAATTTTACACAGTTAGAGCTTTCTGAAAAGAAATCCTTTGAGAGAATCTGCTGTTGTGACTATAAAGTGTGTTAAATGATTTTTAAACCCCTTGAATTCTAAGGACATTATTTGGATCAAATAGAGTTTATTTCCACCAGTACCATTTTTTCTTGTTATTTTCTTTTAAGAAATGTTCTCTTGACTTATTTCATGCTAGATAAATGTCTTTTCGTAACCAGAAGTTTCTTGCCTTGAGAAGTAGAGAACTGTTACTAGAAGTGATAAAGCTGTTTTAATATTAAATGTCACTATATAATGGAATCTCACAAAACCTTGTTAAAGAAAATAGATAATTAATTAATTGCAAGAAAGAAAAGTCCAAATAATTTGATTTCTAATGGTTACTGATCATGTAACAATTTAAAAATATTTTTAAATATTTTTTTAATTTTATTTCTTTATTTCTTGTATTTTTTTATGCTTCACATGATAGGAAAATGGATCAAGTATTTGCTGTTACATTATTTTATTTTCTCAGTATTTGAGCATATGTAAAAATCTAGTTTTGCTCACCAATTCCTGATTTATATACTATGAAAAAGCTCAAAGAGGAGCATTTTCTTTAGAGGTCCCTGGATTAAGCACTCCTATATCTAAATATTCTTTGGCTCTTTGTCATTCACTGTCTTTATCAAACATTTGCACTTATAGAACAATTTGCAAACATTATTAAAATAATATCTTGCCTTATTGCTGTGTGAAAGATAAATATCATGCCATATACTTTAGAAAATATAGTTGGAGTTATGTAAGCAATAGAGAGAATATGGCATATCAATCTTTTCTTATAAATATTTGTCTGTTTTTCTCCCTTTTGTACTTTGGCAAATGGCAGGATTATCATGTCACTTAAAATATCACTTAACACATATGCTTATGCAGATCGTTTGAGCCCATTCTAAATTTATAGTTATACTATATACACTCACAACATGATGATCCTTGTTCTATGTTGTTGTTTACATTATAATGCGAGGTCAGAATAGTTGCTCATTTTCCATGAGCCATTCCCTGGCTGGCCAAGCACCTCCACTGAAAAAGAAGGAGGAAACACAGTATAAGTATTGAAGGGGACAAGGCAGTTACTTTGAGGTGCAGGATACAAAAAGACTTTCTTGAACGAAGCGTCTCAGACGTTCTCAATGCTGCATCTCTCTCCACTTTGGGAAGGCTGATGAGGTTCAGTCAAGAGCAAACATCTATAAACTACGGTTTATCCACAGATTACTGTGGATTTCTCTCATACTGTAAGCTTGTTTGCTGGACTCCCACTATTATAAAGAATGTAAAGGAAATAAGGGAAGATAAAATATCTTATACCAGACCAAAATATTTTTGTTACAGTTCTGACTGTTATGTTTGACCTGCTAAATTGAATACTAAAATCAGGCCAGATAGGTCAGAAGTCCTGTTTTGCAATCCTGGCTTCTGATGTAGAAGAAATAATAAAAACTCTCTCAGTAAAATTCACAATAGCAATAACATTTAGTGAAGGATCAAGACCTCCTTCTTTAATCTGCCAGCAATTTTTATTAGAAGAAATGGTAATTACTAGCCAAGATTTAAAGAGCATTTGTTATGATTTTCTTTAAAGTTAGTATTTAAAAAAAAATGTTTTCCTATTAGTGTACATTCAATAGCAGACTATCAATGTACTGGTATCTACCTACAGTTTTGTTTTTTTTTTTTTGTTTCTTTGTTTGTTTGTTTTTCCTTTTTGATCTATGTCAGTGTAGGTAGTCATCTCAATTGATATCTACAACATAATTAATACACTGACAGAATTACAGAATCACAGCATGGCCAAGGTTGGAAGGGACCTCTGAAGATCATCTAGTCCAACCCTCCTGCCAGGCAGGATCACCTAGAGCACATTGCACAGGATGGCATCCAGGTGGGTTTTAAATATCTCCAGAGAAGGAGACTCGACAGCCTCTCTGGGCAACCTGTTCCAGTGCTCTGTCAATCTCACAGCAAAGAAGTGCCTCCTCATATTCAGCCAAAACTTGCCGTGCTTCAGTTTGCACCTATTGCCTCTCGTCTTCTCACTGGGCACAACTGAAAAGAGACTAGCTCCATCCTCTTGATGCTCTCCCTTCAGATATTTATACACATTGGTGAGGTCTCCCCTCAGTCTTCTCTTTTCCAGGCTAAACTGGCCCAGCTCTCTCAGCCTGTCCTCATATAACAGGTCTTGTAATCACCTTAGTAGCCCTCCTCTGGACTTGCTCCAGTAGCTCTGTGTCCCTCTTGTACTGGGAAGCCAAGATCTGGGCACAATACTCCAGGTGTGGCCTCACCAGGGCTGAGTAGAGGGGGAGGATCACCTCCCTTGGCCTGCTGGAAATACATTTCTTCGTGTACCTCAGGATACCATTGGCCTTCCTGACCGCAAGGGCACATTACTGACTCATGGTTAACTTGCTGTCCATCAGGACACCCAGGTCCTTCTCTGCAGAGCTGCTTTCTAGCAAGTCAGCCCCCAGCCTGTGCAGGTGCTTGGGGTTATTCCTCCCTAGGTGCAGGACCCTGCACTTGCCCTTGTTGAATTCACAAGCTTTCTCTTAGCCCAACCCTCCAGCCTGTCAAGGCCTCTCTGAATGGCAGAACAGCCTTCTGGGATACCAGCCACTCCTCCCAGCTTTGTGTCATCAGCACTTGCACTCTGTTCCATTGTACATGTTGCTGATGAATAAATTGAACACACTTGACCCAATACTGACCACTGGGGGACACTGCTAGCTACCAGCCTCCAACTAGACTCTGCACCACTGAGCACAATGCTCTGAGCTCTGCCATCCAGAAAATTATCAATCAACCTCACTGTTCACTCATCTAGGCCAAACTTCCCAAGTTTGTCTATGAGGATGTTATGGGAGACTGTTTCAAAAGCTTTGCTGAAGTCAAGGTAGATCACATCCATTACTCTTCCCTCATTTACCCAGCTAGTCATCTCATCACAGAAGGATATCAGATTGGTTAAACATGATTTCCCCTTGATGAATTTATGCTGACTACTCCTGATCACCTTCTTATCCTCCACATGCTTGAAGATGACCTTCAGGATGAGCTGCTCCATCACCTTTCCAAGAATGGAGGTGAGGCTGACTGGCCTGTAATTACCTGAGTCCTCTTTCTTGCCCTTTTTGAAGACTGATGTGACATTGGCTTTCTTCCAGCCCTGAGGCACCTCTCCTGTTCTCCACAACCTTTCAAAGATTCTGGAGAGTGGCCTAGCAATAACACCTTCAACACTTGTGGATGCATTCCATTGGTCCCATGGATTTGTGGATATAAAATATTCTTAGATGATCTCTGACCCAATCCTTTTTGACCAAAGGAAATTCCTCCTTTCTTTGAACTTCCTCTCTTGTCTTTAGGGTCTGTGGGCATATGGTCCTAATATCACTGAAGGTAAATGTTATAATTGAGCTTTAGTGCTTAATTTATAGAAAAATAGTATGAAATGGTCATTAATTTCACCAAAAATTAAACATCTCTTTTCATGAGTAAAACCAAGACATTTAATTTTTAAGTTGAGTGTTTTACTTCTCAGTTCTGCCAGCAACCCCTACAGATGTTATTTATTAAGTTCTCACAGTGAGTATCCTGATCTTGCTGCAGAATCTGATTTTCTTCCACATTTCTTGCAGTAAAACAAACTCCATTCTTTTCAGCCAATAAGCTCTCTTTCCTGCTCCCAGCTGCAAAGAAGTTGTTTATGATTCAGGCTACTGTTGCTCATGTTTTATACATATAGTGTTGAAAAAGGGTTATTTGTATCAAAATTATTATTATTATTATTTAGCCATACACCCACTACACAGTGACTTTACAGAATGGACAATATAAATTCCACACTCTATTTGTTTTCTGTGAGTTCCTTTGTCCCATACAAATAGAACAGGAACCTTATACAACACTAAAATATGACCTGTATGGTTTTGTTGAAAAGTTCAGTTTCAAAGACCATCTTCTTCTACTTGTCCCTTAGAGGCTACAAGCCTGAAGTAATGTCTTATAGGGGGAACATGCAAGCTGAACTCAAACACTAATTGCTTCAGGAGAAGGAAAACATTTGAACAGCTGCTGTCACAGAATCACAGAATGGCTGAGGTTAGAAGGGACTTCTGGAGGTCATCTGGTCCAAATTCTGTGCTCAAGCAGGGTCACCTAGAGAAGGCTGCACAGGACCATGTTCAGGTGTTTCTTGAAGATCTCCAAGGAAGAAGACTCCACAGCTCTCCAGGCAACCTGTGCCAGTGCTCCATCACTGACACATTAAAAAAAGTGCTTCCTGATCTTCAGGCAGAATCTCTCGTATTCCAGTTTGTATCCATTGACTCTTGCCCTGGCACTGGATACCTCTTAAAAAAGCATGGTTCCGTTTTCTTTGCACCCTCCCTCCAGATATATATATACATGGATAACATTGACCCTGAGATTCCTCTTCTCTAGCCTGAACAGTTGCACCCTCATAGGAGAGGTGCTTCAGGCCCTCCATATCTCTGTTGGACTCCAGTGCATCTAGGTCTCTCTTTTACTATGTGGCCCAGCATGCATCATGATCATCAGCAGGTGCTACTCAACACTTACACAGCCCAGGATAGCTATCAAATTGGTAGGGCCCAAGAGGTGGATCTGGGAGTGAAGGAAGAGGTTTGAGTTATATGGGGAATACATGAAGGAAAAATAAGACTTGTGGAAGGGTACGGGAAGTGCCGTGGTGGAGGTAGGAGAGAGGAAAGGCTTGCTGTATTGCTGTGTGAACAGAAAGTATAGAAATGCAGTCTTCATGAGTTAGCTGCCTCCTGAAAAACAACTTTCTCTAATTGGATCTATCTCTTGTAGCAGAGATGTCAGAATCTGTGGTTACATACACTAGTAGCTCATTCAGTAAGTTAGGTATGAAAAAAAGTATATAGCAGATGGACTTTGCATCTATTTAGTATATTACTTGTACCTATAATGAAAGTAAATGACCAAATATGAGGAGATGATTGTAAAAGAAAATCTAACAAGGCAAAAGTGCTTGCAGATGATGAGGGGGCAGGTGATCTGCCAGGAAACAGATGAAATGCATAATTAATCTTTAATCAATAATCTTTGATCATTGTATAGCTTCTCCTTGTGTAATTGGCACTACATTTTTTATGTATTCTTTCTGCCACACCATTTTTATTTATTTCCTCTACCAATTTATTGTCTTGTGTAACAGTCAGTATTGCTTAGTTACCAATTAGTCACAGCACTCATACAATTTACAGCTGCTTGTCCATGGGTAAATTTAGTTCACACCATCTTCACAGCTGGACATGGATATATTAGGAGTAAATTTATTTTGTATAAGTGTCATGCAGTACATTTGATCTCAAAGCTGGCTATGAATAATAAATAAATAAATAAAATTAATCCCCAAATGCTTTTTTAAAGCTTAAGGGGTAAGTTTTTAAGGGCATGTGTGGGGTTCAATGAATAAATTTTATTATTGGTAACATGATTTGGGTATTTATCTCCCCATATAGCATTTAAAATCTCTTAATAACAATAATAATAGAAAAGGCCTACTAATGACATAAAAAGGAAAAAAAACATATTTGCAAAAATTATCTTCTCCGATTTCAGGTTTGGATTACCAGAAAATGAGTCATTTGCAATATTTTCCAAATTCAGGTAACAAAGTATCAATTTTTACTCTATTTTGCCTTAATGGATAAATTTTAACTTCCTGTGTAACTTTGGAACAGGTCTGTTCCAATAACAGAATCTGCTTAATTCCCGTGATATCATGTAGGCACTCATCTTGCAATCACATTTGCACAGATGGACTCCTGCATCCAGATCAAGCCCACATATGCCAAAGAGGCTCCACACAATGAAGGCATCAGCTCAAGGAAATCCAATTGCAAGAGCAAGACCTTAATTCCATTTAGTTCTGTCTCTTCCTAATGAGAGCTGTCAATTACTTATAGTAATTAGGTGGCAATAGATGTTAATAGGATGAGATTTCAAATAAGCAACTTCAAAATTATATGAATAAATCATACAAATTTCTTTGCTTGTCTTTTACCATATGTCCTCCTTCAACACCATGTAATTTGTTTTGCATGTCTTAAAAAAGGCATATAATGTACAGGTATTGTATTTGACTTTGAAAACTTTAAGGGTGATGCATCAGATTTTCAAATATTGTCACAAAACAGAGAATTTACTTAATACTAGAATTGGATTTGAAAGTCAAGTTACATATTTACAAAAAAAATGCTCCATTTTCTTTATTTATTCATTTATTTATTAATTAATTAATTTATTTTCTGCTGACAGTGTTCTCTTCTGAAACACAACTTTATTCACTAAATTAATCTTGATATGTATGTCAGAGGGAATGAGACTGTAATGCTTATTTTGGTTATAAGGGTATGATTCACCACTATATTTCTCATATTTAATGTTGGTGCCATTTATTAATATTGGCAGCGGGTATCTATCATTTATTAATATCTGTAGGGGGTATCTATCATTTCCTCATAAAAGAGCTAGCATACAAATACTTGGGGTTAAGATACAGATTTTTATCCATCTTCCTGAATTTAATGCAACCTTATGCAAACAATATATAACACTAAGCCTCTTAGTATGCCAGACACTTGTTGTCTTCTGTGAAGAAAACAAACTTAAATTAAGCAGAAATGCTTTCACACCACAGAGTGCTCAGTAGCTGAATCAGGTCAGCATTAGACAATTGCAGGTTCCAATATTTTAATTAGAGTCTTTGCAGAGAGAACTGTTAAATAACTGCACATATCTATTCATTTTTCCAAATAGAGGCAATAACTGGTAACTATTGACATTATGTACAAACACTGTTCTTCCAAGAATAGCCCAGTGTCATTAGCTCTCAGTAGATTGGCTGTTCTTTTATGAACTCTCAAGTGGCTTTTTGTCTGTATGCATTTACAGATAAAGCCACTGTAACTGAGCACAGCCGATGACTCATCTCACTGAGTTCCGTACATCTGTTCCAAAACAGTTCATTGTTTTGTTGAAAAAAGAACACACTTCTATTTTTAAGAAAGTCTGGGTTCACAACATTATTATTAAGAAAAAGCTCAGGCAGACATCTTATAATCTTAGCCTGTGACGTGAAACTCCTGCTTCAGTCTAACAGCAGTACTCAGTCTAAAAATGCCTTTTCAACATTGTTTTTCTATCTGTTGACTTTTCTTTCTCTTACCTAAATGCAGAATTCAAAACACTTTCCTCTCTAAATCACATTTTAGTTCCAGGGATTGGGGATGATTCAAAAGTAATTGGAAGCAGAATGCAGCTGGAGTGCTCATCTAGTTCATGTATAATATGGACCTTTATTACTTGTGCCCATTCCTGATCATTTGAAATGCAATATTTCAGCAAGCTATTTAGCTCATACTTCTTTAAACAGCCAAGGATACATGCTGCTAAAAGGCCAGGAGTCTAAACTTTTATGTAAAAATAGACAACAGTGTATTTCTGCACTATTGAAGATTATGGAAGAATAATAAAAATGTATATACTTGAGCCAAATCTTGTACTATATCTTAAAAATATTGATTACCATGGATAATATCTATAGATATTGGTGTATTATAACAGAATACTTTAACTTGCAGCGCAGATGTGTAAACTTAAGTTTTCAATTTGTTTAATATTGATTTGTCCATAATCAGAAAAGCTTTAATGCTTATAAATGAAAGTGTTCATTTAAAAATTTAACTTTTATACAGTAATGTCAACTTGAAGATTGCTAACTTAGTAGTAAAATAGGATGAAAATTTGGAAAATGAAGTTGTAAAGCTCATCAATTCTAGCAAAATTTTGGTATTATTGACTCTGTCTTTGAGCTGGGAAATTGACTTCTTGTCTTCAGAAACATCCTTATACTGTTCTACAAAGATCAAAATCGAACACTAAATCATAACACTTTTGCAAACAGTACAATTTTAATTTTCACAGTGAATGCATTATGAATTTCTTGATCTTTTAGAACAGTGATTGGAGACCAACTTGCTTGGTAAAACAACAGGAGTGAACGTACAGGTAAAAGCAGTTGGTAGTTAACATTCTTTGGAATAATAAATAAAAAAGCAACTACAGTAGCAGATGATTTCTCCAAAATCAGATCAAGTCAAAGGGAATGTATAATAGTGGATGAGAGGACCAACCGAAAGAACTGGATGAAGTTTTCTTTGCATCCCCTGAGGGGGTAGGTTTGCAATACAGATTTAAAATCAGATTGTGGGGGGCACTTTTTTCTTCCTTGTGAAAGGTTTGAAGTAGAAAGCAATATTTTGTTTACTGCAATATAGCAAGAATTGGATATTTTTCCTATCTGAAATTATCCCTTGGACTTTCATTAATGTTTTTGGCCTGCTGCATTTAGATACCAGTAACATAAGAGCCCAGAAGATGTCAGAGGAAGACAAGACTGGTGAACACCACCTGCATCTTTGCATTAAGTCTCTTCCCATGCAAGGATGTCATAAAATTTCATAAACGGATCAAGTGACAAATAATTATTAGGAAGAACTTCTTTACCGAGAGGGTTGTGAGGCATTAGAATGTGCTGCCCAGGGAAGTGGTGGAATCACCATCCCTGGAGATCTTTAAAAGATGTTTAGATGTTGAACTTAGTGATATGGTTTAGTGGAGGACTTGTTAGTGTTAGGTCAGAGGTTGGACTCAATGATCTTGAGGTCTCTTCCAACCTAGATAATTCTGTGATTCTGTGATAAAAGCTGACCTTTTAAAAATCATTGGCCATATAGGGAGGTCATTGAGAATCTCAGTGTTCTTTCAGCTGGGAAACAACAAGCTCAGTTTCATTCATGGCTCGAATGCCCTTATGTTGACACTGTCTTTTAGCTTAAATAGCTGTCTATCTTTCTTGATACAGTTATATCTGCAGTCTTGTCCCTGCTAAGTTTCTGCTTCATTAAGCTAGAGATCATTCTTTTTCTGCTTGCTTAATGTTTTCTCCCTCCCTCCCTCCCTCCCTCCCTCCCTCCCTCCTTCCTTCCTTCCTTCCTTCCTTCCTTCCTTCCTTCCTTCCTTCCTTCCTTCCTTCCTTCCTTCCTTCCTTCCTTCCTTCCTTCTTGATGCTCTTAGTCTTTTCCAATGCCTACCGTGGTCTTACTTCATCTTCTGAGATTGGAGCACACTACTCCAGCTGAAGTCTTTGCAATACTTCTCACACAATAACCAGTGATTTTCTGGGTCCCTTGTAAACCAAAAGTGGTGAGTGTGGGGTTTGTGTTGCTGCTGTCAAAAATGAGAATGACAGGTTATTTGTTTCAGAAAAAATCCCCAGTTTTGTTTTTATATTATAAAACCTTTAACAGCTTGGTGACGTTTTGATATGTAACACCTTAGATGGCTTGAAACTCCCACAGCTTTGCACAGCTGAGGGAACAAGACAAGATTTCTCAGTAAAAGCAAGATGCTACTGGTGTCCTTGTGTCAGCTAAGCAGTCTTGAACTTGGAATTTAGTCCCTCTTTCAGCCAAATTCTAGATTTATTAACCTTCTAAGCACACTGCAAAGTTTGTATTTCTATTCTATCCAATTTTAAGCAAAAAAGCTTGTTGACAGGTACAGAAACTGTTTAGCCCAGTTGGGCAAATATTCATTTATTTTATATTCTGATTTCACAGGAAAACAAGACTTACATGGTTATACTGCATGTTTGGCTACATGTAAGTGCATACGCATATCAAAGTTATCTATTCATTTGTCCCCCATACCTACAAAACCACTTTTGAATTGGTTTCTTGATTCCAAGCAATTTGACTGAAGGGTAATATTTACACAGATTATTAAATTGCTATAACATTTTGTGAAAGTAGGTGGAAGGGTAAAAGGTGGGTATCAATTCCCCTCCAGTGGTGGGAAAAGTTGCACTGTAATTCAGCCTTTATAAGACACCAGAGACTCCATGGTTAAGAGAAATACTTTATGAATGGGAAAATTTCAGGGGTAATTCTATTTTTTTAGACTGACATCCATAGGAAACCCAGCTTCCTTTGTCCTAGAGCCTGGGGAACCACTTTGTTTATAAACTGTGTTAGAACTAAGCAAAGCTGTATATTTTCAATATTTGATTAAGTATTCTGCTCTCACATTACGTAGGCATGCCTCCTGAGTTCTTCTGAACTCTTGAAATGTGTTAGGCTGAATAATCAATCACAATATATATAATATTTATACACAATCACAACTTCCACATCTGGCTGCATGCCTGTGCACCTGATTGTATTTCTGGAGAAACCGTATAAATTAAAGACAGAAAAGAAAATCGTCTTGTAGAAGTAAAAGCATCACAAATATACTTAAAAATACTTAGAGCTCAGAGGAAAAATAAAGCATGGTCTGGGGGTTTAGTTGAGGAATTATTTAAGGATCCAGAAGAGAGCTTACAATAGAGCAAAATGAATAGTAAAAAAGAATCACAATTGTTCACCATGAACAGAGAAGTAAGAATGAATAAAACCATCTGTCAAGCTCATTGAGTTTTTGTGCCTCCGGAGAATACTGTGGCCATATTCCTTCCCCCAGGTTTGGTCATTAGCAAACTTTTTACTTGGGGAAACAGTAAAAGACTATATAGTGGTGGTGGTAAAGTGCAAGCCACAGAATGAGGGAAGTAAGACTTTTGGATCATCTAGAAAGCATGCTTGTTTTTCTATGTGCTAGTCATTTCTTAAAAATTTCTGAACTGTCATTACTGAAAATTTTCTCCTCTCAGAGAGTTTCTGTATCTCTGACTTCTCCTACGACATTGTGTGCTTTCACTGGAGAAAGGAAACAAAGTTCAAATAAACAAACATCTCTATCTGCAATATTTTCATTTTACTGGTGTTAATTGGGCAGGGATTTGGGTTTTTACTCATTGGTTGTAACTTGTAACCAGTATTTTTTTCCCCTCCTTCATATTCTTTTTCTTAATAAGCTTTCTTTTTGACTGGAATCCAGACACTGGGAATTTTGAAATACCTCTTAATTGCATACAGTGAAATGAGCGCTAAATACTTATTGTAGAAACAATTTCAAAAAAATTCATAGAATACTACTTATATATTTTTTTCTAGGAAATATGTTTATTTTATAGAATTATCTTGCCACAGACATATATATTCCGTAAAACTTTTCTCCCTCTCCCCCCCCTTCTATGCATATATCTCTCTCTCCCCCTACTCTATGCATATATTTTGCATAGTTAAGCTCTTCATCAGTCTGGAATCTGAAGATGAAAACCAAGAAACAAGATGGCTGCATTTCACAGAATATTCTTAATTTATTTGGAGTGAAATAGTCCTTTTATCACCTTCCCTATTGATTCTAGGTTCTGAAAGGAGACTGGAACAGAATGTCACTCAAAACCACTTGCCTGATTAGTTTTTAGTTTTGGGACCTGGGATATTTACTGTGGTGCTAGCACAGTACCTTCTACAGGTATTGTTCTCCTGGCTATCTGAATGAAGCCGTGAGAGAAGCTCCTTATGCAGCATGGTGTTGTCCTCATAAGGAAAAGAAATACACTTATTCCTTTAAAGTGTTGTCCAGTCTGAAAATAGCTGTGCCAGTGAAGCGAAAGAAAGATTTGCTTCCCACATTTGTGCACATGTAGACCATTGCCTGGCTGATATGTATTTATTTAACAGTCTTATCTTTACATTATTAGCTTCTGTTCTTCACTTCTATCCCTTGCAATGTTATTTTGGTTTATGAATTAAATCACCAGATGTCAATTTAAGATGATGAAAAATTGTCTTTCAGAAAAAAATTGTTCTTTTCACACTTAGTTTTAAAGAAATTGTCTTCAAGACTGAGCCTTACTTATCTTATTTAGGAAAATACTTTTTTTTTTTTTTTTTTTCCTTTCTATGAGGTTCTGATGTTGAAAACATTTGTTGCCTGCATGAGATCAAAAGAATAACTCTTCTACAGCTCCCAGTGGTACCCTGGTATCTATTTTTGTGATGTCTTTAACCTGCAAATAAATCTCAGCTTGTAATGAGCTGTATCAAAACTGTGTGCCTGTGCTGAACTATCTGATGAGTCATGAGAACATGATATCAGACTCATGTGCAAGACTTAGACTTTAGAACTTGAATATACTTCTGTTGCATTTCTGATCTCACTTTTGCCCAATAAATACCTAGCAATGTTTAGATTGAGAAAATTCCAGTTATTAAAATGATGTCTGCCGCTGACTGTTTTGGCTTTATGCTCAAAACTCAGCATTTAAAAATGGTCCTGGATTATTTAGATGTATACTATTAGTACATTTTATTAGAAACGTACTAGATGGATTCAGAGTTTTACAACTCCTATTTCTAGTGAGGTGCTGACAGGAAGGATTGAGCTTTTGGGGAGATAACAATGCTGGGATTTGTTCAGCTTCCAGCTGGAGAAGTTCTGTTTGCATTCAACAGTCATTCCAAAGAGGTCTGCACAAACAGCAACCCTGTTTAGAAACTAGAAAGCTATCAGTGGGCAGCCATTTATATCAATGCCTTTTTTTCCTTTATAGATCAGGACTGGATTGGAACGGTGTAACTAATCTGTTAATTCAGTTTGAACTTTGACCTTGGGCACTTCAGGCTCAATTGAAAATGCATCTTCAGATATGGGAACAAAG